TTCAGCCTGGAGAAGAGGAGGCTGTGGAGTGACCTTATTGCAGCCTTCAGTACCTAAAGGGAGCCTACAAAACAGGAGGGGAATCAACTTTGGAAGGGTTGATAACAGCAGGACATGCGGAAATGGTTTGAAGTTGAAGAAGGGAAAATTGATTGGATGTCAGGGGGAAGTTCTGTACAGAGAGAGTGGTGAGGTGCTGGAACAGCTGGCCAGAGAGGCTGTGGATGCCCCGTCCATCCCTGGAGGTGTTCAAGGCCAGGTTGGATGGGGCCCTGGGCAGCCTGGGCTGCTATGGAATGTAGAGGTTGGTGGCCCTGCTTGTGGTTGGGGGGTTGGATCTTCATGATCCTTGAGGTCCCTTCCAACCTGGGCCGTTCTGTGATTCTGTGTGATTCTGAGATTAATTTAAAAAAAAAAAAAAAAAAAGATGAAGAAATCAGCATTTTCCATTGAGAAAGTCCTGCCACCTCATGTCTGCATTCAGCACAAACAGCAGTGCTCTTCACTTGGAGTTTGCTTATGGCACAAAGCTGGGAAGATCGGCTGACATCCTACAGGGCCATTCAGGAAACTGGGCAGGCTGAGAGTGGGGCAGAAAGGAACCTGATGTGGTTCAGCAACGGTGCTGCAGGGTCCTGAACCTGGGGAGGAGCAGCTGCAGCATCAGGACAGGTTGGGGGCTGAGCTGCTGCAAAGGAGCTCTGCAGAGAAAGACCTGGTGGTCCTGGTGGCCAGCAGGCTGATCATGAGTCAGCAGTGTGCCCCAAAAAAGCCCATGGGATCCTGAGGTGCTTTTGCACGTGGCAGAAGAATGCACTGTGCTCTCCACTGCAGTCCCGTCCACCAACCACAGAGCTGAGTTTGGTTCCATCAAAGTCCTTCATTTTAACTCAGGAAGGAGGAGGGAAGGCAACCAGGCTGAAGTTAACCAATGGACGTGGCACAACTACTGATAAGTTATCACATCCTTTTAATTTTTGGTAATTTTACAATTAAACACACAGATAAAAATAGGGTTTCTTTTTTTCTGAATAGTTGACAAATAAATTGCCTCTGTGACATCAATTCTTACTAACTCAAAGTTCATCCTCTGCTTGCTGAACCCCAATGAACATTTGGGATTTCTGAGTCACTGTTTTCCCTGATTGAACAAAAACAGCCTTCAAAAGTAAGGGAAGGCAGATGGCGCAGGTGGGAAGCTCTCCCCAGCAGGCTCAGAGTGCTTCAAACAGCACAAATAATGCATCTCCTTTGTAATGTTCTCACTTACAGTTCTTGTCCTGACTCTGCTTCGGGTTGCCATCCGAATCACTGCTTTCTGTGTCTGCAGGAGAACTGCACCGTGGGCCTGATTCAGAGCTGAGTAGAGAATGGAAAGGGGAAAAACACCTTGAGAATGAAGTCCAGAAATCCTGGCTATGCTTCCAAGAGACCCTGAAAAAGGCTTTAGGGCACTGTTCCTTTCTGACATCTTCATAAGTGTGAAAAAATGTATTAATTTCCCTTTTGTTTTTTAATTCTTTGCTGTCTTGGTGTAGCAGTAGTTATGGGACATGTACTGCTCTTGTGCCACAAGGCACGTGTGCTACCAGTAGTTAGAAGGACTGGAAGGTAAAGGGAAGCATGGTGCCACGACGCAGAGCACTCAGACAACATTATAATACAAAACAGGCAGCAAAGGGAGGGGGAAGGCAAGGAGAAAAAATTCTGATCATCGTAACTTTACGTATTTTTTCATTCTGAAGTTAAAAAGAAACAAAAAGAACTGGACTTTACCAACAGAAAGGCTGGAAGTCTGTGAACTTGGCCCACCCCTTCTCTGGTGCAGCATTCTCTGGGGCTGCTGAGTCCCACACACTGGATCCAACATCCATGGCCACGCAGGGGGTGGGGGGCTTCGAGCTGACAGGCTCAAACACTGCGGTCCACCCAGAACCTGAGGGCAAACAACAGCACACTGGGGCTTCCAGAGCATCAGCTGCCCCCAGATACACCCCAAAGCCATCCCAGCAACAAAGGAATTCAAGAGACCATCCAACAGCACTCCTCAGTCCTTGGGAAGCTGCAGCTTACAGCTTGGAAATCTGATTAATATTAATGTTATCCATAAGAGAGAGGCAACAATTAAGCAAAACGACTTGATGGATTTCTTCATTCTTCTCAGCTGAGATCTGTGCAAGAACCACAGTTTCTTGTCAAAACCTCAGCAGTGAGGTTTCCAACCATTTCAATCACTCACTGTTCATATTTGGCAACCTCAGGTGGGGAACTGATGCAACGTTTGGTATCACAGAAGAGATCTCAAATAAAACTAAGCACGCAACGTGGTGTTTAAGATCTCAGTCTGCTCTCTGTTCACTAGAATATCTTTTATTCCTGTCTTTCATTCCTGCAGCTTCAACACGAGGGGAAATGGCTTTAAAGTGCAAGAGGGGAGATTTAGAGTAAATATCAGGATGAAATTCTTACTGTGAGATGCTTTGGTTGCCTACAGAGGTCGTGGATGCTCTCTGGAAGCATTCAAGGCCAGGCTGGATGGGGCTGTGAGCAACCTGGTCTAAGAAGGAGGTGTCCCTGCCTATAGGAGGGGCTTGGAACTACATGATCTCAAAGGTCCCTTCCAACCCAAACCATTCTATGATTCCATAATAATTTTCTCAAGGCATTTTTCATCCTCTTTTCTCAAGAAATAAAGAAGGACTACAGAGGTCTGGATACAAACCCGTGTGCATGGAGCTGATTACAGGAGCAGACTGTGTTCACTATCACAGATTTAGAGATATCACTTAGAAAAAGAAACCTTTTTTTTTAAAACAGAAAAGGTTTGCACCGACAGTAGGTAAAGAACTACTGGGAAAACAGTCCTGTCCCTTTATTTCTGTTGGCTGAATTTCTTCTGCTGATAACACTGTGTCTCATGAACTTACACAGCCCCACTTGCATCGTGGCAGGGGAAAAACTGGTTTATTTCCAGCCTTCTGATGGGCACCTCAAGGGTGGGTGTCAGAGGCAAAAAAAACAAAGACTGAATTACACTCTTCTCATCTGTACAGGTGAAATTATGGAACAGCCATGGAAAAGAGGCAACCTGCAAGCTGCTGTCTGGCAGAGATGGTTACAGATGTCACTTCAAACAGGATGATGCTGTTTTAAACTCTTTACCTTCAGAAGAGTTGGACTCTTTTTGCTCTGCAGCATTGCTCTTGTTGCTGTTGGCTGAGGAAGAAGGCACCTGCTGTTCTGTCTCCTCCTCTTCTTCTGAGTCCACGCTGCCATCGTGATCTCCGTTCTCGAGATCACTTTTTGATGAACTCTCTGAGGCCTGAGATGCTCCAAACCTAAATCAGAGAACTCAAGAGTCAGTAAACCCCTGGCAGCAGCCAATTCATCCCTCCCCGCCCCAGGGAGAAAGCAGAACCTGGCTGCTGACCAAGTGATGCTAAATCCCTTCTGTAGAGCTCAGTTCCCAAAAAGATGCAAGGCTCAGCTGGGCACTTCTTAAGATATTTCCTCTAATGGCCCTGAGTGCTTTGCTTGTCAAAACCTGTTTGCAGAGTCCTAAGGGGAATTAAACTGCAGTGATGTCTCAGGGCTGGAGAGTGATACGAGCAGACAAAGGGCAGCAAATGAGAGGAGCAGAGGTTTGTGATCATTTGTGTACCCTATCAAGGCAATCTGATTTTTAATGCTAGGCAAATAATAACCATCGGTCTTGACCATTTGTCCTGTCTCATTTAATCATATTTTTGGATTTACAGTTACAGAAGTGACTTTACATAGGAACTGACTGTAACAAAGGGATGAAAAGCTGACAGTGATTTGCAGTGCTGGGGGATGTCACTCATTCTCATGCAAAACATGATTTGTCTTCTTTAGACACTTTGAACAAGAATGTTCTTCCTGCTACCCTCAGCCTTCCAATGCTTCCAACCTTCCCCTGCCCCAAGGTGAGGAAAGATCCTTCCATTTCTCCTTACCTCGTCCTCGATTTAACTTGTGTTGCATAGGTTATCTCCTTCTCTTCCCAGATATCTTCTTCTTCCTCGTTATCATCAAATTGCTGGATTCGCTCATTGCAGCAGGCTTCAAAGAGGGAAGCATTAGGCTGAAACAGTATCATAAAGAGATCACAATCCATTCAGTCAATGGAGACAGAAACAAGAGCTTTGATGATAACAGGCTCGTTCAGCAGCATTTGTACACAAATAATACCAGGAAAGTGTTCCCTGCCTGCATTTAACCATACATCTCATGCTGTCTTTGCATCCCAAGCAGCCCTCAGAAGTGCAACAGCACTGAAGCCCAACCCAGGCAGAAGCAGCAACACCAGGGACATCGAGAAGGACACACAACAGTGTCTCACCAACACTGCTCCAAAGCAAAGAGGATTCTCATTTCCAGATGGTGCACTGCCCTAAGAATGGCTGTGCTGAAATTCTACCCTGCACACAGCTGCCTTCTCAGAAGCTGTCAGCAGCTCCTGGTGGCTGCAGGCGTGGCTGGAAGTTCCACCAAGAAATCCGATTTTTTGTACCTACAGAGCAATGCCTATGGCAGCCAGAGGGAGAATACTGTACTAATGGTACAGTGCAAGTGAAAAAGGAAGATGAGGACACCTAAGTCTCAGCACTGATCAAAGCAAAGCTTGGCCAGGTGACTCTGGAACCACCTCTGTAAGCCAGTCTTCAGCTTCTTCAGTGGGTATGCAGGACAGTAAAACAGAAGAAGCAAAACAAAGCACAGCAATATTCAGACCCATGACAATCCCAACCCTCTATGTGTAATGTTTCCTAATCATATATGGAAAGATCATCAAAGTAAGAACAAGGACAACAGATTTACACTGCAGAAGGGGAGAGAATACAATTCTTCTGACATAAAGAGGAGGACTGGTTTTGAAGATCTGCACCAAGGCAAAAAACCAGGAGGGTTCATTTCACGTCCTGAGATCCTTAACTGCATGCAGCCACTGGAGCACCTTTGCAATTCCTGCAGATGTTTTGAACTTCAAAACACCACTGGTTGATTCAAAGGTGAACCAGCTTGCTAGAATGCATCCCATTACACAAAACATCCCAAAATATCCACTTACGCTGTCATCATCTGCATCTATGTTGAAGTTTATCTCTGCAATCCTGTCAAAAGGAGCACTGCAAAAAGAAAAGGGAGAGCCTTCAGTGATGGTAGGGAGTGATGGCAGCACTGCTGCAGCCCCAGCAGGAGCCAGAGGGCAGCCTGCCCCTGCTCACTGCTTTATTCAATGTGATGGTTTCTGCTTCTTGAGATGAAAGATTATCTCCTATTTTTGAATATTTGGAAATAACATGACAATAACAGTGTGGGATATTCACTCCTAGGTCTGCTTAGTACCTGCATGGCACCTCTGGCAATGTCTGGCTGTTACTCTGCAGCTCTTAATGTTATTTATGCAGTACAAAGGCAGCCTCCACATTTTTCACCGAGTCTTTCCAGCTGAATCAAAGCTGATATGAAAACACAACAGAGCCTCAATTCATTAACAACAGAAGGAGCTGAATCCAACTGCTGTGCAATTCCAGTCCTACATCCACCAAGGATTCCTCAATATGAGACAAGACCCAGGGGAGAGACTGGATCCTACATAGTGGGCACAGACCCAGCAATACCCAGAGGGGCTACACCTGCCTGTTCTTAGCAGAATTCCATGAACCTCAGAGAATCTGAGTGGTTCCACACCCCTGACTCATTACTGGGACACAAACATGGCCAACAAATATCATCACATAACCCAGTTTCCCATTGAGACTCAAGAGTGTCTGCTGTAAGAACAGCAGAGGGTGCTGCAGGTCAAGGAACTCCACACTGCTGTCACAGCGTGGGCTCATGCAGTTCTTCTCTGCTGTATTTCTACATTCAGACAGTGCTATTTTCCTTTCCAGAAGGCTGATCAGCAAAAATCCTCGTCACGCACATCGCCAGGATGTTGAAGCTTGATTCTTAGCTCTGAAAATATGCAAGTTTGTATCTGACAAAGTGTTTTACTGATGGAATGCAGAGGGCATGGAGCAGCTGGGATGAAAGTTGCCTATGGAGCACCAGCATTCCTTTTGGATGGGATTTCTGGAAAGCAGACCTTGGAGACTGCAGGCCTGTACCAACTCAGGATCCTTCTGGAGCTCTCTTGTGTCAATAAATGTAACAGCAGAAGCTCAGAGCTTCCAAATCACTGTAGGCAAACAGGACAGCTGCAGTCCCAGCAAATTCCTCTGCACCCTCTGTAGGGTGGGAAAACAACGCTGCAGCTTTAACCAGATTGCAGCAGTTCTTCCATAGCACTCAGTTCAGCAGCCACGGAACATTACGTTCAACCCGATCTGCCTCCTTTCAGCTGTGATTTGCTCCCAGCTTATCTACATTTCCTTATTCATATGGGAATAAATGGCTATTTTTTTCTGTGGCTATCATTAGAACACCATTCCTCCACTCCTAATTTCAGTGAGGACTTAATGCCACTGGAGAATATCTGTGTAATTGCCTGGAGTTAGCTCTAATGCTTCGTTTTTTGTACGATTCCATTTATTCTAGAACGTGGCTGGGTAATAACTGCATGTTTTATTAAAAAGGTTTCTCTCCAGAATGAAGAAGTGCTTCTCCATGGTGCTACAAGCACTGCTGGGTGACTCCTATCAAAAGCAATGCTGTGAAAAAGACGTTGGGTGTTTCCCAATCTGCTGATCACACTTTGGTTTTTGTGTCACACCAAACAAGGTGCAGAGCCAGCTTCACTTTAAAACCAGAAGAGAAAAGAAAGATGAGATGCAGAGAGGTGTAAACGCCAGACAGAAGCCTCTTGGAGCTGTGTACACTTACTTGATATTATCATCCTGGTCAGCAAACTCCTCATCATTAAAGCCAAACTGATCCACGAAGTTTGCTGTCATCTGCTGGATTTGGTACTCAGAGAAGGCCTGAGAACAGAACCCACAAAGAGCTACTGGGCAACTGGAGCACTTCAGGCACAACACACACCCAGAAGGCACTTCTGTATCTCATAGCTGCTCAGGCCCTCTGCCCTCCATCTCATAGCCAGGCTGCCCAGACATTGATTTGGTCACATTTTTGCCTATTCATTCACACCTCATTCTCCATTTATGAAAACAATTCCTTTTTCCTCTATGTACCATCTCCCACTTCTGTATTTTTTAGCTTGTTTCTCCCATTGGAGGATAATTCTGCATACTGGCAGTCAGCACACTGCAGCTCCAGCTGAGGACCCCCAACCCTGCAGCTCTCTGTCATGACCCCACAGGTGTGGGGAAGGTATTTGCAAGGGCAGTGCAGCCAGCAGCAGTATCTGGACAGAGATAACAACAACAACAACCTGCTTTCAGATCTTTTTTACCCTTCACCACATTTCAGACTGTGATTATCTTTCTAATCCCCAGCCTCCCACTAAATAGGTTGATACTTCTGTTTTCTGTCAATGTTCTTAATGTCAAAAGTGGTGGGGAGGAGCTTGCCTGAGTTCTTCAGCCTGAAAAGCTGCTTCCAAATGTTTGATGGCCCTTCATCAGACTCTGAGGAACCTGAGGTCTTTGCTAAATTCAAGTGAACCTTCAATTTCCCCCATTTCTTTTTAATTCAAGGCTTTTTACTGCTCTTATTGCTCTTTTCTCACATCTTAGTATGGCTCTCTCAATTTTTTAACAGAAGTCTTTACAGCTCAAGGGGAAGCAGAAACCAATTCCGCTGCAGGCAGCTGACACAAACCACCTTGCTGGCAGGGACCTACAGCAACGAGCTGCAGCTCATCTATAGAATCAGGATCACTCAACCCACTACTGTGCAGAGAACCAGGAAAAGAGAAAGAAATATGCAGGGATTGGAGAGACATCCTGTATCTGGGACTTAGATGCAGCCTGAGCCAGATTTATTCCTGGCTGGAGTCTAGATTGAAATCTGCCATTTAAGTAACTATAATGGAAAGATGCTGAAAGGCTGAACACACTGACAGAGTGACAGAGTGAATGAAGCTGTTCCATAATAGGAAGGATTAAGGGAGAATTGGAGAAGCAAACTCCCTAGGAGCAGCAAGGAATGAGTTGTCAGCTCACCTGCTGGAGAGAAAGTTCATTGGGAAAAGCACTCTCAATGTCTTCATCCTCACTGGATGAGTGCAGATGGTGAGTGCTCACCTGAAAGAAGCAGAGAAAACAAGCATAAGGGAAAGCTAAGAAAGCTCAAATACCACCATGCAAAAACAGACAAAGACAAAACTACCTAGAGGGCAGAAACTGTCCCAGGAGTAACACAGAAACACAGAATAGAGCTTGCCAACACGTGTGAAGGTTGCTGCATTACTGCAGAACACATATGTTTAGATACACTGCCTTCGTAGAGTCAAACAGAGGAAGAAGACTGGCAGTATTGTTCCTTTTTTTTTATTAAAGACAACCCAGAAGACAGCAGACCTCACTGAAATGTGCATTACTGCCCTCACCAAATCCACCGTATTCCTCCTGTTTGTTTCTGTCAGCGTCTCTTCTACAAAGCTCTCCCATCTCCCTCTGCAGTCCTCAGGTAGCTCTGGGAAGAAGCAATCTTTGTTACAGTGTGGTTACCTTCAGCCTCTAGGTGTAAAAGCAAAGTTCTGACCGTTTTGAAATGACTGCATGAAAACAAAGAGCAGCTGAAATTTGGTTGAAATGCTGGTTTGTTATGTGAATGTATGGCGCTTAATTAGAAAGCCTTTTCTTTCAAAAAGGTACCCTCACAAAATAAAGGGCAATAAGGTCTTTTCCCAATTATTTCATCGAGGACAAACCAGCAGAACAGAGGAACGTACCTTTGATGAACTCACTGATCTGGGTGTGCATGGGGCCCTTCTCCATGTTCTGCACCACGGCGTTGGCGATGCGGGTGAGGTGGCCCATGTTGCCTCGCCTCATTCCCCCTTCTGCCCTGCAAAGAAAAGCACAAAGGTAACAAGAGACCCCAAGCAGCAGTAAGAATTCACACTGCCACCACAAATAACATTGCTGGGTGGGAATTGAAGCACAGGAACATGAAACCCTCACGAGGAGCTTCTAGCTAACACTGCTATGTCTCCAGCTTAAAGTAAAGCCTTCCTTCCTAGCTGCTCACACAGCATGGAACACTTCCATTTCTCCATGGATGTTAACGGGATGGGAATTCATTTTGAGCTGCTGCACTGTGCACTCTGAAGTAATAGAATCACAGAATGGCTTGGAAGGGACCTCAAGGATCATGAAGATCCAACCACCCCGCCTCATACAGGGCCACCAACCTCCACATTTCATAGCAGACCAGGTTGCCACGGCCCCATCCAACCTGGCCTTGAACACCTCCAGGGATGGACGGGGCATCCACAGCCTCTCTGGCCAGCTGTTCCAGCACCTCACTACTCTCCCTGTAAAGAACTTCCCCCTGACATCCAACCTCAATCTTCCCTCCTTCAACTTCAAACCATTTCCCCTTTGTCCTGCCTACCCTTACGAAGAGTTGATCCCCAAGTCCTGCCCTTGCTCTGAGACCTGTGTGCAGCAGCCAGAGCTGAAGCAAAGCTGTAACTGCAGTAAGGGTACCTACTTGCAGCAAGGGACAGCCCTCCAACCTGCACCCCAAATTCAGAGTGTAGAACTATTCAAATGAAATTAACACCTGGAAATGAGTTTCTAGAGTGAAGCTACAGCCTTTTGGGTGCAGACCTGGGGTTTCACACCCCAAGCCAGCAGACAGCAGCAATCTTCTTTTCCTCCCTATAAACTGCTGCACCCTATCCGTGCTGCTGAGCAGACTGCACTGACTTTAAGTAACTGAAGTAATATCTTGTGGGAATATTCAATGCCTGCAGCCTTAGAACATAGCATTCTGAGTCCCAAACCCTTTACTTACTGTATTTTGTCGTTAGCTTCCCAGGCATCCAGTATCCTTTGCACTAAGCAGCACTTCTGGAACAACTGGAGGAAAAAAAAAGAGATAGGAGTTCAGAAGTTTGCCATAGAAAGACTCAATGCCTTCAGAAATCTGTACTGAACTGCAGGGACTTCTCTCCACTCCTTCACTGTGACAGAGCAAGAACTTGAAGTTCAGCACTTATCTTTCTCAAGAGCTCAAGTTTCTTCTTTCTCCTTGTATCTTATGCAGAGGATCCAAAGAAAACAACAAAACCTACCAACAGCTTCAGTCTGTTCCGGGCTTCACAACAGCAGCAATGAAGAACGCTGCTGTCATTTTACAAATACAACAAGAAGTTTTCATCATTAGGACCACATGAGAGAAGCTAAAATGTGGTCAGCTAGTTGCAGTTATCATCATTTTCTTGTGTGGGCCAATTTTACATGTGCCTTTATTAAAATGATGGAACAAAAAAGGGATTCAGAGCCAGTTACGTGAGATGGATTGTGTGTTTATTTTGTAACTGGATGCTAAAATGCATTCACAAAAGTAAATGCAGTTCCCACCAGAACTGACAGAACGAATGATATCTAAACACTTCTAAATGAATTCTGTGCTCTTGGACAGTGTGTCACATCATCTCCTTCTTAATGCAAGTTCAGACTGCATCAACCAGGCTGCACTTGGGCTGGAGGAATCCCAGGCATATATACAGACTGGGAGGAGCAGTGCTTGAGAGCAGCCCTGCAGAGAAGGACCTGGGGGTCCTGGTGGGTGAAAAACTCAACAGGAGCCAGCAGTGTGCTCTTACAGCTTGGAAAGCAAATGGGATCCTGGGCTCCATCAGCAGAGGGGTGGCCAGCAGGGACAGGGAGGGGATTGTCCCTCTCTGCTCTGCCCTCGTGAGGCCCCATCTGCAGTACTGCGTTCAGGTGTGTGGCCCCCAGTACAAGAAAGACAGGGGGCTGTTGGAGAGGGTCCAGAGGAGGGCCATGAAGATGATCAGAGGCTGGAGCACCTCCACTACAAAGACAGGGTGAGGGAGCTGGGCTTGTTCAGCCTGGAGAAGAGAAAGCTGTGGGGTGACCTCATTGCAGCCTTTCAGGAGCCTACAAACAGGAGGGGAGTCAACTCTGTGAAAGGGGAGATAACAGCAGGACAAATGGTTTGAAGTTGAAGGAGGGAAGATTGAGGTTGGATGTCAGGGGGAAGTTCTGTACAGAGAGAGCAGTGAGGTGCTGGAACAGCTGGCCAGAGAGGCTGTGGATGCCCCGTCCATCCCTGGAGGTGTTCAAGGCCAGGTTGGATGGGGCCGTGGGCAGCCTGGGCTGCTATGAAATGTGGAGGTTGGTGGCCCTGCCTGTGGTTGGGGGGTTGGAGCTTCATGATCCTTGAGGTCCCTTCCAACCTGGGCCATTCTGTGGTTCTGAAATTCCCTGGTGACGTGACCTGACTCACATGAGTAACCATGATATTCTCTGTGTTGTTTTCTGGAGTTTCTTGGTTCTCCGTGGTCACGTTTCCATTCAGCACCTCTTCTCTGCTTTCTGGGTCATTGGCAGTAGTTCTTCCCTCTTGCACAGAGTGTGAGAGAATAGCTGCTATGGACAATTCCACTTGAAAATGCAAAAAGTTATTCCACGTGTATTTAAAAAATAAGTCCTGGAATAAAATGAGAAACAAAAAAAGTCACTATGGATACATCTTCCCACTTTTGTCAATCAAATGATATCAGAACACTGCCCCATTAACTGCCTGCTCACCTTCCTTTATCATAATAGGGACATAACATAACCAGCACACATGACACAAACCAATCTGTGCCCAAGAGATCAAAAGAAAAGCAAAAACACTCTCAGCCTGAAGCCATTTCCCCCCCTCACCCTTCACAGTGCCACGCCGTGTTACTCACAAGTAATAAATCCATGGTACTGAGTCTGCATAGTTCCTGATTAATACTGGGAGTGTTTGTGTGGAGCAGAGCAGCAATCAGGCGAGATCCGTGAAGACGAGCGTTGCCCAGCGGCTCCTCCAGGACTCCAATTGTAGTCAGGATTGCTGTTTTCTATCAGAGAAAAGGAGGTGGAGAACATCAGTGAAGGTCAACGCTTCCCCCACTGCAGATGCACGACTGTTTGACTAAATAGAACCACCATGTCTTCTTACATAAATACTCTCTGCAGGCAAACCTATGGCATCTTCCCACTCGGCAGCATCCTGGGAGCACTGTGAGGTCTGAACTTCACAAATTGAAGAGATCAGAACGCCCACTGACTCCAGGTTCCCTCCTCTGTGTCCCCTCACCACTTCCACCAAAGCCATTAGCCACATCCCTCTGCTTTTGGCTTCACTTGGATGCACTGCCTTCCAAATCCCACTGCCTACTTCATAGAATCACAGAATGGCTTGAGTTGGAAGGGACCTCAAGGATCATGAAGATCCAATCTCCCAACCACAGGCAGGGCCACCAACCTCCACATTTCATAGCAGCCCAGGCTGCCCACGGCCCCATCCAACCTGGCCTTGAACACCTCCAGGGATGGACGGGGCATCCACAGCCTCTCTGGCCAGCTGTTCCAGCACCTCACCACTCTCTCTGTACAGAACTTCCGCCTGACATCCAACCTCAATCTGCCCTTCTTCAACTTCAAACCATTTCCCTTTGTCCTGCAGTTATCTACCCTTTCACAGAGTTGACTCCCCTCCTGTTTTGTAGGCTCCCTTTAGGTCTTGGAAGGCTGCAGTGAGTCACCCCGCAGCCTTCTCTCTCCCTCACCCTGTCTTTGTAGTGGAGGTGCTCCAGCCCTCTGATCATCTTTGTGGCTCCTCTGGACCCTCTCCAACAGTTCCCTGTCTTTCTTGTACTGGGGACCACACACCTGGACGCAGTGCTGCAGATGGGGCCTCACGAGGGCAGAGCAGAGAGAGACAATCCCCTCCCTGTCCCTGCTGGCCACCCCTCTGCTGATGGAGCCCAGGATCCCATTTGCTTTCCAAGCTGTAAGAGCACACTGCTGGCTCCTGTTCAGTTCTTCATCCACCAGGACCTCCAGGTCCTTCTCTGCAGGGCTGCTCTCAAGCACTGCTCCTCCCAGTCTGTATATATGCCTGGGATTCCTCCAGCCCAAGTGCAAAACCCTGCACTTTGCCTGAACTTCCTAAGCACTTGAATTACAAACCTGAAGTGTGAATCTTTCTTGAAAAGATTTAAGGTAGAGTTTGCCTGGCCAGCAAGTGGTGCTTTCAGAAAATACCCACAAAGCCCACGAGTAAGGATGAGGAAACCCCCATGTCCAGCCAGCAGCTGTTTGCTCCTGAGGAAGGCTGAGCCACGTTACCTTGGGAGGGCTGAGCAGCAGCTGGTGGAAATCTTTTAGCCTCGGTTCAATGCCATGTAAGATGCTGCTATTGACAGTGTAAGACCTTTCAAATCCCTGAGTGTATGAGTCCATCAGTCCTTCCACCCTGTAACAAAGAAAACATAGTCAGGGTTTGACCAAACCTTAAAAAGGTCTCCACTCACACTGCCCATGTTGGTTATTTTCTCTTGAAAAATAACTCTGAATGTGAAGAATAACTGACAGCCACTGAAGGTAAGTGCATAATCATATTATTAAGTTATTTGCAAGATGATATTCACATAATCAAAATTGTGAATGAGATGAGTGGGAAGGCAGAGGAGAAGCTGTCTGCAGGGCTGACAAAGACAAATTGCTGCAGTGCTTTCTGGGTTCTCAAACTTCATAGATATTCAAAGAATAAATTGTGCCATGTGTGAAAAATGGTAACAAGCACTCCAGAAGTTTACTAAAGGATACTAACCAAGCAGTTAGGCTCACATCTCTGCTGGTCAGCAGCACACTGTGACTATCAGTAGACCCTTCCAACAGCACAACCTCATGTTGGATTAAGAGAAATGCTTTCATTTCAGCGAGGCACCAACAGCCTACATGGCACATGGAACTCATAAACCCTCAGAGATGCAGGGCACAAGGCACAGAGGATGCAGTACCTCAGCTTTTCAGCCTTAACCACAGTGGGTGAGGCACTGGAAAAGGTTGCTCAAGGAGGTTGTGGATGCCCAACCCCTGGAGACATTCAAGGCCAGGCTGGATGTGGCTCTGGACAGCCTGGTCTGCTGGTTGGTGATGCTGCACACAGCAGGGGGTTGAAACTGGATGATCATTGTGGTCCTTTTCAACACAGGCCATTCTATGATTCCATGAACCGTGCATGACTGCCTAACAACTTGTCAGCTCAGTGCCATCTCCTGTCTGTTTTTCCCTTTGTTAAGTCTTCCTAATCGTCCATCACCTCCTTCATTCTTCCTTATTTCTTCCTTTTTAAAAAAGTGGGATTCTCAGCATCTCCCTTCCTCCCCAGACCTCTCCTTTGCTATATCCTTAATTAAAACTAGATTTGAATTGCTAAAATTGTTCTGGTCAGGATTGAAGCACGTTGACTTACCCAGAGCGCCTGGTTTCCAGCAATGTTAGCAGAACCTGTGTTCCATTCACTATGCAATTTTCAGTCTGCTCTCCATCAAACATATTCTTCAGGAGTTGCTCCACACATTCCTGCCTGTTGGTCAGCACAGACAGATTTACACTATTAGTAACATTCAGCAGCTGCTTTAATCACAAAAATACCCACTTCTGAGTTTTCTTGAACTGAAGTTTGCACTTAGTAAAGACAAAAATGGCTTTACATGAGGTTTAGGAACTTGCTTCCTCATCACTAAGGCAAGAGCTCCTTACAGACATTGAGGCTCCAACCTGAAACACGGTATCAACAAGGCAAAACTCTTGTTATACACTGGAAGACAATCCAAGTATTAACTTAGTTCGTTTAATTTATGAAAGACAATATGAAGCTATGAGCTCATAGTCTAAAATTATCCACCAGAATCCCAGGAGAAAGGCAAAATGCACTGGAAGCTAACCTGTGTCATCTGCCACTGGCACAGTGGGATCCAGGATCCAACAGAAGAGGCCAAAAGAAGGCAACTGTAAATAATTTGCTTATTTTTATTAGTCTTAGCTTCCACTCCCTTGAAATATTCAAAGCTATTCACCAGCTCTTTGAGCCTTTAAAGCAGGGTAAGATGCCTCCCAAACGCTGAGAGTGTCAAGGGAAGGTGGGGGAACCCCCAAGCACGGTACTGACAAATGCTGGAGTCATAAGGAATGACTACAATGGACTTTTCTGGCATTTAAACATGATTTTGACACTCAAAGACCACCCTAAATTACAAACACGGGGTAAAAGCCCACTCTTCTCCCTGCTATCTGCTACATTCTATGAATTAAAGACAGGAGGAATGGGAGGGGTGTGTGACTCTGGCCATGGCTCCCAGTGGCCTTAAGTGATGGTTAATTTACCGTTCATAGATGAAAAAGGTCACTGGTAATGCTTGGAAAAACTCCCTGGGAGAAGGCATGAGCCACGTGACAGTGGGGGATCATCAGCAGAGACGTGTGGTGCAAAAAGTCACTTCTGTTCAGAATGTTTTTCCTTTGAAATAACGAAGCGGCGTAACGACTTTCAGAAAGTCTCTTTGAAAGTGCAAAACCATTTCTCTTTATCTCGTGGAAATGCAGGTGGTGAATGAAAATGGAACAGCAACAAAGAAAACCACAGAAGAAGGCGACTGAGAGGGAGAGGGAAGGAGGTGAAGCAGCTGCTGAAGATGCTCTGAGTGCAGTATGACCCAAACCTCCACCTGTAGCTCTCTGCAACCTCTGTGCAGCTCAGGACCTCAGCTGGAGTTCTACCCCCAGAAGCTCTCATCATGGGCAGCAGTGTCCTGCCCCAAGCACAGCTCTGTGTCCCTCTGCTGAGCCTCTGAGAGAGGAGGAGGTTCAGATGAGAAAGGAGAAGATCCAGAGTGAGTGCACCATGGCACACAGTGCAGACCTGAGCTGTATGTGAGCAAGTCAGCAGAGAAAGGCTCAGCCCACAGCTGAAGGGTTCTGGAGCCATTCAGTCCTGATGAAGTTCAGTCCCTGATGAGGTTCAGTCCCTGATGAGGGTTTCCAGGACTTGAGATATGCAATTGTGGTGATGGAGGGAGCTCAATCCAACAGTCACAAGGCATTAGTACTGGCCCTGTTTAATATCTTCATTGGATGAGGGGGTTGAGATGAGCCAGCTCGTGCCATGGGCACAGTGGAGGTGGCTTGGGGTTGGACTTGGTGATCTCAGAGCTCTTTTCCAACCTTAATGGCTCCATGATTCTATGATTCTGTCTATACCAACAACCCAACACCGTGCTACCTGACAACAAACCACCACTCTGGGACAAAAGATCAGGCCTGCCTCATTTCTGCAGGTGCAATCAAGGAAATGAAGCATTTATTAAGAGCAGCTCCTTACAGAGGCAGGCTTGTATGATCCAGCATGTCTTTCCAGGGAACACAGCTGTCAGTGACTGCATGCAGCACATGAGCTGTCTGCACCTCACACACCACCTCAGCCCTTTGTGAACAAAACTGGGCTCCAGATCAGGAGAAGACAGCAACGTCACAGAAATGAGGAAAGTTCTGGGCCAACAAGATTTGTAAAGCAGAATTTTTAAGCCCTGCTTACAGATGCTGTCTTATTCCCTTCAAGTCTTCTGTTTCACCTCGTTCCTATCAACAGACCTTTAGGTCTAAAGGAACCTTGTTTGAGGTCATGTTCATGTTCATCTTTACAAAAGCCCACAATTACCAAGTTTCCAAATGATGGAACTCACTGGATTCCACTCCTGTGATCAGTGCATTGACCCATTACCTTCATGTAGTTTACACAAGACAACGTGCAAAAATGCCAGAACAGCTTACAAACCAAAACAACTTTTCTGCTTTTTCCTGTCAAAAAGGCCTCAAAAGAGATGACACCTCTATTCACAATCCCTGACTGCCAATTAGAAGCCAGGAAACGATAAAGCCAATTATGCATCTTCATGTCAAGTCACACGTGGCACTAATGAAGAAACATGGGAATGCTAAGAGCTGCCTATGTGGCTTTTCCCTCAGCTCCCACCACCAGATCTCAGCTCTCACCAAATTCACTGTGAGATCTCAGCACACCCACTGACACTGATTGCTTTTGTCTTCAGCTGTGTGCTTCACAGATCATCAACCCCAACCTGTGCTCACACAGAGCTACAATCCCAGACATCTCAGAAGAGGTGGCCAAGTGACACCCCAGCTTAAAAGCAACATTTAATGCTTGGGATAATTGTCAGCAGTTAAGCAAGGGCTCATGGCTACTTCCCACACATCTGGCAAGAAATGACAGCAGCTGGTTTAGCAATAATCCCCTGAGCAGTACTTACGATTCCAGTGCAGTGAGAAGTGGATCAGGCTCAGGTATATCCTGCAGCTGATTGCTCTGGTCTCTGCTCAATCTTATGATATCACACAGGGTCTGGGAAGCATTTGATTGCCTCTGTAAATGACACGGAGCACATATCAGTGCTAGCTTCTCAATCTGCCTCATTCTGACCATCAGAGAAACTAATGTCACTGTATGAGTGCTACCACACTCTGAATTATTCATGTGCTAAATGTAACATTGAATTATTAGAAGCATTAATAGATTTCAAAACCTAAGAGAGGATCTTCCTGAACAGAACAGTTAAGTTCAGTCAAAGATTCCATACAGTGAGGACTGCATTTCATAAACTAGCGACTGTATTTCAACTTTCTGACCAAGTGTATTAACTTGTGACTTTCAAACACAGTATTTCACCCTTCCTTCTCACTGCTTCCCGCACAAAGAAAACTAAATGACCTGATAAAGCCCTTTATGTTTGCAGGACCTGCTGCCCACAAACACAAAACACAAGTCTTGCCATACTCACATCCTCATCCTGGCTTGAATGGATCAGCTCCACAAGTCTCTGAATAATTCTTGCTTCGTTAAGCCACTGGAGGGAAAGGAAGGGAAAAGAAAATCGTTTGGTATTACAGCATTCAAAACAAGAGGATCCTTGAGAAGGCAATAACCCAGAGCCCTTTCCTTCTATTTCAGAATCAAAGGCATGGGCAATATCTAAAGACACAGGTCATAGAATCACACAATCATAGGCTGGTCTGGCTTGGAAGGGACTTTAAAAACCATCTTGTTCCAAACCCCCTGTCAGACAGAGATGTCTTTTAGTTACCATCAGAACCCACACCCTGCCAATGAAACTTAAATATCTTTGGAAAATATGATCAGTCATGAAATAGATCAGCCATAAATGCTATCTTATCTGAAGCAGCACGAGCCAAACTATCAGGATGCTCTTCTGCTGCCACTTCCTTCCCTTACAGCCACTGTTGTTTACACCAAACAGCTCCAACTCTGCCCATGCTGTTATTACAGCTCATCTCCTTGCCCCATCCCACACCACAGACTTCCTCCTATTAACTCAAGCTATCACTGCACCCCAATTCCTCGACCACATGCAAACAAAGCACACCACCTGCAAGGAACACCTTCCAGTTTCCCTCTTCCCAGCTCCACCTCCAAGCTCTGCTCCTCAGTCCATCTTCAGCCCAGTTCCTAATGGCCTTCACCACAGGCAAATGGCTGAGTGTGTAACATCAATCACACCAATCACTCACATCCTCCAAGCTAACACACTCTTGGTTGCTTTGGAAATGACTGACCAAACCATAATTAGAAAGAAAATAACTTTGGAGGTTTCTGCAATGATATGATCTTCCATCAGTCTTCAGATGAGTCACGAAGGAAACCAACAGCCTCCCACCTTCCCAAGAAGGCTCTGTGCATCTCCCCTTCAACACTGTTTTTTATTACCTGGTCACACAACTTCAACCATCACAGAACAACTTCAGCTGGAAAAGGCCCTTGAGATGAAATCCAGCTAACAAAAGCCCATCCAGTGGAGCTGATCCCTGCCATGCCTCCTTACCATCTCCATTGCATTGACAAGGCACCTGTCCATTCCCCATTTACTCACTTGACCTACAAGCATCCCTTCTCGTCTCCACGTGCTTGGATACACTCACTGAAAATCCTTCTTCCAAATCCTAAGCCTCAATCTCCCCACGACAGCTAAGGTAGCTCTCAACTGGCAATTCACCAAAACAGTGTCAGCGAGGTTAATGAGAATCTCCTCATTTCTAACTTGAAACAACCAAAAAAAAAAACCAATACAATAAAACCTAACCAGCATTGCCTCCAACAGTCCTTCTAACAATGAGACTGCTCACCCCTGTGCTAGGTCTGCATGCTTCGTTTTCATCACCACTTACACACCCCAGATTTTGCAATCCCTCTGTATTCCCACAACAGAAACACACTGCATGACTTTGATAATGAAAACTTACACTCCTTTTCCCTGCAGGTTTCCTTTCTTCATGCATCGGCCTCCGTAGATATGGCACAGTGGTATTTCAGCCTATTTTTACTGCATGCAGAATCCCTGCCATACCAATCTCTGCTCTCAGAGGAATTTCTACCCCTTTACAAGCTCCAAAATCCAGGGGTTGGCTGTAATGGGGGGCAGGCAGGGATGGGGAGGCCTGGAGGCACTGCTAGAAACTGCAGGGTCTCCCAGATCAGGACAGCCAGAGTGGTGATGTGCAGGATGTGCAGAAGTGCTGAGAAGACAATGCTATGAATTTAAGCAGGTTTTTTTTTTGCAGCGTGGAAAAGCTCATTGTTCCCTGGACCATCATTTTGCATGGAAGAAAGGAGAGTCAAGCACTGCACAGGAATTAGAGGATAGAGATTTCCATCCTGGAAGCTGGCATCGGAGGAGAGAACTCTTCCACCTCCACAGTGATATTACCACTAAAAAGAATCAACCCTGGGGAGCAGTACTGCTAAAGCTCTTCATTGAAGATTTAGAAAAAGATCTTAGCAAGTTCAGGAACGTACAATTGTAGAATCACAGAATGGTTTGGGTTTGAAGAGACCTTTGAGATCATGGAGTTCCAACTCCCTGCTATGGGAAGGGACACCTTCCACCAAACCAGATTGCTCAAAGCTGCACAATACCAACTTGGGGGCAGGAGCAGACATGCAGGAGGGGAAAACCATCACCCAGAGTAACCAGAGAAGCTGTAAGAAACCTCGGGAAGATCAACAAAGGTAAAATGCACCGAGGATGGAATAATCCCAACAGCAGGAGTGAGGGTCAGGAATCGCCTGGGCTGCTCTGGGAGGTGCCAGGATGGGACAAGAGCCCCAAGATGTCCAAGGAAAATTCCAACTTGATGCTAGGGAAAGAAATCTCCACAAAATGTGGTGAAACAGTGGATGAGTGCCTGGATATGTCTCTCCTCTCAGAGATACTGGAGGTTCACTTGGACAAGGCCATGAGCAATCTGCTCTGGTAGGACCTGCTCAGAGGTGGAAGTGGACCTGCACAGGGACCATCCAACCTGCACTGTGCTGCAAGCCAGAGCTGGAAAGAGTCCATTGTACAATAATACTCCTTCTTCTAAAACCTGCTGAAAATATACCTAATAACAGCATGACTTTGGCTTGGGTATTCCTCACGAGACACAGCAATAACAGAGAAAAGCAGGACAGCACACAGCAGCATTTTTTGTGTGCTACCATCACTGCCCACATCAATCCCCAATGGAAAGGCTGCACGATGCTCCAGATGCAAGAGGTGAGGAGATGGGTATGGAACCATGGAAGTCCCTCAGCTGGGAGAGCTCCTAAGCAGTGCCCAGAGAGAAGGAACCCATGGGGGACCAGCAGATTTCTCATCACATCCTACCCATTACCATGGAAACCTGACAGCTGTGTGCACCAGGTGAGGTTTGTCCTTCAGACCCCAACTGGGGAAGACAGACTAATTATCCTCTGTGAAGGTTATAAAGCTGTACTTTATACTTTAACAAGGATGAGGACATGAAGGGTTTAAGAGACCTGGAATTACTGGATCTGCTTCACATCAATTCCAAATATATGCCATCAGATGTGGAAGCCTCTTCTAAGGACCAGGTCTGCTTTTCCAGGTAAGACTACACTAATGACACACAGATGGAGGACAGACTTCTCTGATTCCACTTATCTGTCCCAACATTTAAAATGCTTCAGGAAGCAATCTATATTTAAGTCTTCCTCCTACTTAAGAAGCAAATTATTTCTTTCTTTCACAAATCTGGAGACATTCCAGGATCAAATGATGGTGATCAAAGAAAATATGCATCCGTGAGCACAGTGCAGGCTTTGTCTGAGGATACTGGCAGGTAAGTGCCTGAAAGATAAGCCATTGGAAAGACCTCTTCAGAGGTTTCTGACAAAGACTCTTCCAAATCTTTCCAGTTGTGAAGGTCCAGATCTGGGGAGCAGACAGGTCTGTGAAGATGCAATGCAGACAACAGATCACTTACAGTGCACTTACCCTGAACCTGGAGGCTCCCTCACACAATGGTGCTTCTCAAACTCAAGACAGAAGTATGCAGGAACAGCACATCTTAGCAAGGCTTCCTCCTGTTGGCACAGCTCTCCCAAACAACAAAAAACTGATCTATGCCAACCAAACACTTCTCTGTCAGGTGTGGAACAGAAGGAAGCTGATATAGGATTGTCATTTTGCCATGTAGACTGTATGCCCTCAGATACAGATGAGGGAAGAGAAAGTGAATCATCAGCCCAGATGCTCTAATAAGGTATGAGATGGCACTGCCAACCTTCTCCCTGCTGCTGCTCATCCACTTATCTTCTGCTCCCTTGTAACTCCCTTACGATGCTATGAGGCTGTGCAAAAATGAAAACCAAGAAAACAATGCAACCAACTGAGGGAGAGATCTGGCTGCAAACAATCCTGGCAAAGAACACAAGTAAGAGAGAGGTGTTCTCTGCTGGATCTATTCCCAGCTCCGTGTCACCCTGAAGCCACAAGAAGACTTCAGCTGGCAAAGGTTCAAGAAGAGCTGGATGGGCAGAACACGCATGAAGGGCCAGAGGAAGGAAAACTGCCTCTTTTTGTGGCACTGCCAACCAGAAGTGCTCGTGGGATTGCTGGCCCAGCTCCACTCAGCTCTGGAAGCCAAACATTTCTACTAAAGACAGAGAAAATCTCCACCCTGGCCAACATTGTGCAGAAAGGAGCAGCCCAGAAAACTTCCAATACACATCTTGGAGGATTCACCCAGCTGAATACAAAGCACAGAGCCACCAGCACTGCCCAACCATCCCAGAATCTCTAAAATTGAGGGCAGGGAATGACAGACCCGCATGCAATCAATCACCAGGGAGTCTCTGATTTGCTAAGTTAAGATGACAATGTGAACATTAAATCCACAGTGAGATGCTGGGAGACTTGTTACACAGAGCAGCATTCGGTTGAATTTGGGCTGTGAGGGACCATCTTTGTAAACCTGATGTTGTAAAACACAACGAGCAGTTTGACAACCCAAGTGAAGCACAGGGAAAGTTTTCACGAGCACTGCAGCACTGGATGGAAAAGTGGTGTTTTCACACCCACCTGATGTATCCTTGAGAGTAGCACTTCCTAATGGGTAACAGAAAACACATCTCAAACTTTTCTTGGACAAAATTTCCAGCTTCTAAGTCACACAAATACATGGTAGAAGGCATTTTGTTGGACAGATGGTGCTCACAGTCCACTTGGGAAGCAGCTGGAACATAAACCTGGAGACCCTGGTGTAACATCAGAGCTCCACAAACCTGAAAGCTCCAGATGTGCAGTCCTGAATTTCAGTAATGCTGTGTTACTTTCTGCCCTTCTCAAGTCTCTGAGCCACCAAATTTTAACTTCTCCAGGACAGCACTCACATTATGTCCATTTGAAAAAAAATTCAGCAGCATCACCAGCACCATACTGTATCTTTAATTTGTTTTCTTGCTCTTTTTTGACTGTGTGAAATCTTTCACAGGTGGAATTCAGGTAACAGGAAGGGTTAAAACATACGTGGCTGCTCATGGATGGTTGTTATTTGGAAGCCTGGATGTTTGGAGGTTTCCCAGATGAAAGCCATCCATCCATCCACAAAAATGCTGCTCAGTTAAAATGTTACTTTAAGATCAGAAGGAGAAATAATCGCATTATCCCGGTAATTGCTACGCTTTGCTACTGCAAAGCTGTTGTGCAGCTCTGCAAAGCACACTGCTAAGCTCTGCTGTGCTCAGTGCTCTGGACACAGAAGGCTTGGGCAGCAAAGCTTGCCAAACATACAAAGCCTGCTGTGGGCTTCAGAGACACGGTACAGATTTCCACACAGTGCACTGCTCCTCTGGTGCAGTGCCAAGGAGTCAAAGTGGGCTGCTCTCCTCCAGCCCTACAAAGCTGCTCACAATACAGGGGACGAGGCAGCCTCACCCAGGGAGACAAACCTGCCCTACCTGTACAACAAACAGCACCTCAGTGAGGTACTTCATAATGTTAGAGAGAAGGGGGGAGGAAATATCACCTCCAAAAGTCACATACGCTCTTGAGAAGAGTGCAGGATTAAACCAATCGCTGCCCCCAAATGATTGGTCTGTAATTCAGAACACTGGGAAAGATGACAAATTTCCTTTGTGAAACCTCTACAGCAAAAGCAGCTGAAGTAAACAGTGGTTGCTATATGGAAAAAGGAGCTGAAATCCTTTCCTGCTGGGGGCTCGTCCTGCTGGGCAGGCCTTGGGCGGGCTGCAGGGCCAACGCACCCAGCACACTGACCCTAGCATCCAGTAAAGCAGTTCTCAGAAGAGCAGATCCAACTGACAAACAGAATGGCATCCCTTCAACAAACAAACAACCTCGATCCCAATGTGGAAAAGAAAAAAGCAGCACGTTCTCACGTTCAGCACTTCCTGCCGTAGCGTCGCGGGCTCCACGCAGCTGATCAGACGAAGCAGGAGGTCCATCATGGCTGATGTGTCTATATGCTTTAGCACCAGGCTAATAAATTTGTCTTTTTTCCTTAGAAATGCGATCACCTGAAAAAAGAAACATCATCATCAGCTGCTACAGCAACAAAGAGATGTGACAACACCACGTTTCCTATGCTCTGTGTTCTGAGTTCAACCAGCAGGCTGAGAGCCCTCTCAGAGAGCACGTGGGACAGCATTCCTGCTTCAGGGTAGTATGAACTGAAATCTTTTTAGCTCTCCTTTTTTTTCCTGTGACACAAACAGCACAAGTGAATGAATTTGCACAGAATCACAGAATGGCTTGAGTTGGAAGGGACCTCAAGGATCATGAAGCTCCAATCTCCCAACCACAGGCAGGGCCACCAACCTCCACATTTCATAGCAGCCCAGGCTGCCCACGGCCGCATCCAACCTGGCCTTGAACACCTCCAGGGATGGACGGGGCATCCACAGCCTCTCTGGCCAGCTGTTCCAGCACCTCACCACTCTCTCTGTAAAGAACTTCCCCCTGACATCCAACCTCAGTCTTTCCTCCTTCAACTTCAAACCATTTCCCCATGTCCTGCTGTTATCCACCCTTTCAAAGAGTTGACTCCCCTCCTGTTTGTAGGCTCCCTTTAGGTCCTGAAAGGCTGCAATGAGGTCACCCCACAGCCTTCTCTTCTCCAGGCTGAACAAGCTCAGCTCCCTCAGCTTGTCTTTGTAGTGGAGGTGCTCCAGCCCCCAGATCATCTTTGTGGCTCCTCTGGACCCTCTCCAACAGCTCCCTGTCTTTCTTGCACTGGGGGTCCCACACCTGGACGCAGTACTGCAGATGGGGCCTCATGAGGGCAGAGCAGAGAGGGACAATCCCCTCCCTGTCCCTGCTGGCCACCCCTCTGCTGATGGAGCCCAGGATCCCATTTGCTTTCTGACCTGTAAGAGCACACTGCTGGCTCCTGTTCAGTTTTCCACCCACCAAGACCCCCAAGTCCTTCTCTGCAGAGCTCCTGTCAAGCACTGCTCCTTCCAGTCTGTATATATGCCTGGGATTCCTCCAGCCCAAGTGTAAAACCTCACACTTTGCTGTGTTAAACCTCATTAGGTTCACTTGGGCCCACCTTTCAAGCCTGATGAGGTCCCTCTGAATGGCATCCCTTCCTTCCATTGTATCAACCACACCACTCAGCTTGGTGTCACCAGCAAACATGCTGGGAGTGAACCCAATTCCATCATCCACGACATTGATAAAGATGTTACAGAGCACTTAACGTGTGCAAATGGAATGGGTACCTGCTCTGTTTTCCTTGCGATGAGATTCCCGATGGTCTTGCTGAAGAAGCTGGCAAGCAGTGGGTTCAGGGGTGGCTCATGATCCAAGAAATCATAGAGGATGTTGAGCAGAGTCTCATCCCCACCAAGCTTGTCGTTGATCTGGGGCACGTCGGAGGTCAGCAGCTCGCAGGCGGTGTTGGGGTATCTGTGGGCACACAACTGAAGGTGAAACGGAAACTCTCATGGAAATGGGGACTTGTGGAGGTTATGGAGCAGCACTGCCCTTTGTGGAGTAGAAAACACCATGAGAATGAGGGCAAAATGAGGGTCATTGGTGTGCACGGGGCATTTAAGGAAACACTGTCCCTAGCATGTCATGTATGGATGTTTTACCACTGGATTATGTATTTCAATTGAGCACAGATGGATCCCTTCCTTATCCTGGCCTTGTTTCTTGCTCTTCCAGGTGGGCTCATCAGAAACAGCTTACATCCATGACCAGAAAAGATAATGATGTGCTTATAATTAATAGCCTGTTTATAATCAGGCAGGTGAAACAGAGGAAAGACAAAGCCCACCCACTGCTGCTCGAGCTGCTGTCTGCAAGCAGAGCTGCTCATCTTCTGTGTACTTTTCAACAGCAAAACCCGTATTTGCTACATAATTAAAAACACCTATCCAATTAATAACATGAGAAACCCTACAGAACAGTGCTGCAGCAAATGCACGTGTGTTCTTCAGTGAATGGTGTCATGCCATGGGACACAAAACCAGCACAATTCCCACTTGTAGTTGCTATGTAACGTGAGCTCATAACTATGGAAATATAAAACACTGTTCTACCAGTATGGCTATCTCTACAGCCCAAAGGGAAAGCTGGAATGTCTGCTGCTGTCAGGGATGGGAAACATGGAAAGGCAATCCTCTTCTCCATCCTCCATCACCAAGAACAGAGGACTCAGGTTAGGGCAAACCCAGGAAGCTGAACAGCCCACCTCTCTTTCTCCATTTAAGCAGTTACTGATGACAGAGCCTTTCTTTATCCTCCCACAACTTGCTTTCAGCAGTCTCTGATGAGGGACCTCACCTTTGCTCTGCCATGCAGTGCACATTTCCCATGCCATGGGCTTTGCTGTATCCCTCAATGCTCTTCCTGACGACCCATGGAACCCGACTTCCCTCTGCTAATCTGCCCAGTACGATGGCAGGAGCCAGCCCTGGCTACAAAGCACAAATAGATCCCTTTTTTGGGGGGCAGGGGACTCAACTTGCACAATGCAGAAGCCAGATCTACTGGCTCAGACATCACTCTGGAGTCCCTCCAGAACTCTGCTGTATTTTCCACTCTGTTCTGCTGTTTTTTAGGCTGACCAGGAGAGCTCCTTTGTACTCGGATTCCTTTAAATCACACAGGTGAGCACCAGCCTGGCAACACTTCCAGTGATTTTCTTCCAAAGATCTTTCCCCATGTCCTTCCTCTTCTGAGGGTATACCTTTACCTGCAATGGCTTATTCATCTCTCTTTAACTAAACCAGCTTCCTACTACTTAAAACATTCTTAATACCAGCTCTGCATGGATCAGGAGTGACTGAAACGTTTCCAAGGCCAGCTGTGAGCTTCTCAGCCTTCTGCAGCTCCTGACCAGCTGCTCCACATGCGTGCAGTTCTGATTCTTCCTGCTATAAACACCGTTATCATCAGCTTGGGATTTGGTTTTTATGTCTTTTTTGCTCCTAGAAGGATGGTAAATTTGAGTACATTATGGTTACTGTTACAAAGTGATTTCACAGCAGTCACATTTCTTACAGCTCCTAAGGTTATAAGGAGCTATTTCTCCTTTTTTTCTGGCTCACTGCACCATGTAAAAGGCATTTATGATTCCTACGAGCTCACACACTGTGCCTCCCTGTGACACACACCCTGCCACCAGGCAACAAGTGAAATCACTCATTATTATGGGGTGTTCCACTCTTGCAGTCCTTTCCATCTTCAAGTCTCACACTCAGGCTGAATGCTGCACCCCCTCCATCGAGGCACTGCACCCCAATCCATTGCATTTCTGTGCTTCAGGAGGACTTGTCCCTGTGCTCCACGCTCAGCTCTTTGCCATGCAACCCAGCCTGACACAACCACCACCAGCTGGGCCTCTCCTGTGAGCAGTGCTCCTCAAACAGCACGCACTCATCAGGTTTGAGAGACACCCTGATATGCCAACAAGTTAATTATAAATGGTAATTACAGTTCTAATAGTTGAACGTGCCACTTGGATTGCTACAGCCCTTCACCTGGTTGCTATGTTCTCCCTGCTGTGCTTCCATGGGGATTTAAAGCTGAGCTGCTCTCTGCAATTCATGAACTTTCACCTTGCTGGCATTTGGTCAGAAGCTGGCACGGGCTGCTTGGGGAGATGTGTTCCAACCCTGGGGGTGTTTCAGAACACTGGAGATGTGGCACTTGGGGACATGCTCCATGGGCATGCTGGGATGGATTCGGGTTGGACTTGGTGACCTTGGAAGATTTTTTTTCCAACCTGAATGACTCTATGATTCTGTGATTCCAGGACCAAAGTGTTGTGATGATTCCAGCCCTGCAGCATGCATGACTCCAAACAGCACATCCTTCTAAACTCAGCAAGTTTCTCTTTCCTGCTCCAGTTCAAAAACTTCTCTAGCTTTTTTCTAAGAGCCAAAAACTGGATTCCTTTTGGATTTAGAGTTTATTCCTCCCGCTTAGGTGTTATCTATCCCAAAAGCCTCTTTGGTTTTTAATGAGCTTACACCCTCTCTCTGGTATCTCAACGTGCTTTGGAAATGCTTCTCTACCCATTTGTGTGTAGTGCTGGAAGTATCTCCAAAAGCAAATCTGGAGCTGCCTGAAGCACACACGTATCCTTAGAGCCTGCAAAAGGCAAGACCTGCCTGTGAAATTAAAGGCAGCTGGAAGTTTATGCTCATGTCAAGCCACATCTTCTCATCCTTTACCTGTTTGGCACGGATAAGAAAAGGTTTCCAGCTTACCCCACAGCACAGAGAACCAGAGATGTGAACTGTCTCATGACAGCACCATGAAAATCTCAAGGAACAGGACATAAAGATGACCTGGTTAACAGCAGTATGGGAGTACCCTGCAGTGCAATGGGCACTGTGTGATTAAGTACCAGAAGGGCACTGGGATCCCTCATTCTCTCCTCCTGCACAAGATGTGCACATTCCAGGAAAGGGAAACAAGTCTCACATGATTCACCATTTCCTCAGCTCGTTAACTTTCATTGCAAAAGAAAGTATTATCCATCCTCTCCAATAAGGACAGCAGTGTAACACTAACCCTCCTGGTGCCTTCTGGTAGATCACCTTTGTAGGAAGAAGCCTTGCAAAGTCATGCATACAGCACTCCACTTTCCTACACAGTGCACTCCCTGGCATTTGCTTACCTACACATACTCACCTGCACAGACCTGATCAACTGCTCCATCAAATAAAGCTGAACAGCACCATCCCTTCTGTATATTGCCAGCAAACGCAGCACCAACCAGCACTGACCACTCCCACAGCATCCTACTGATTTATTTACACATTGAGCAGCCTTTCATTTTTATGTAAACTTAGCAAAGAAAACCAAACTTCCCAAATCTGAAATGCAAATATTTTCAAGTGTGCACTTGGTTTAAATGTATAAACACAACTTGGTGTGAGAAATGCACATCCAAGAGTTCACCATCAAAAGGAAGGGTGCTCTGCCCTGCTGTATGAATAATGAAACCAAGAGGTTCTGCGTATGCAGCACACTGAAAACATGACATCTTCTATTCACAGAACAGCTTGAGTGCTTCTGTGGGTTGACTACTGCAAACTGATGGAGATCAGAGAGTTGTAACTGAGCAGAATGCTTATGCTTTGCTTGCAATTTTGATTGAAATGCACTAAAGGTATTTTGGAGATACTGATAAACTTGTGTGCAATGTTTTGAGCAACCAGCAAGGCTTGTTTTTAACGAAAAGCCATTAAGAACAGAGAAACAAACCTCTGAAAGTTCACTACAAACGCTGTGATATCTCTCACTTGAGTGCTTGAAAGCTCTCCTGCAAAACAACATCGTCACGAAGCCACTCATTTCTCACATCCAGACCTCTCACCCCATGCAGGACAGAAAAGGAGCACCTACTTGAAGCGGACCTTCTCATCCATGTCCATGGGGGGTTCATGTGTGATGAGGTTGACCAGCTCCTCCATGCAGTGCTGCTGGCAGAGGAAGTCCAGCAGCTTGCGGTTCTGAGCTTTGCACTCCTGTAAGATGTCATCTTCATCCATCAGCTCGTGAAGTGTCACATCTTCTTTATCCAGCAGCTTATCCACGTGCGACGTCGTGTTCAAATCAAACTTCCAGAACATGATGATGGGACACACCTAGCTGGAATGCAGATGAATATCAGTCAATTTTCAGCCTTCGTTCGTTATTCCTCCTTTATAATGGCTTTAAACTAAAAGAAGGGAGATTTAGCTTAGATATAAGGAAGAAATACCTCACCATGAGGGTGGGGAGGCCCCTAGAGGTGCCCAAGGCTGTGAATGGAGCTTTGGGCAGCCTGTTCTATGGGAGGTGTCCCTGCCATGGCAGGATGGCCTTTTAGGACCTTGCAGGCCAAGTCATCCCATGGTTCTACAATCAGCAGAGCGTGGTTTGTATTATCTAAAGGCTGCAAGGCTGGGCAGCCAAAATCCAGTCTGTAAAATAGGTTCTGTTCCCAACCATCCTGAAACAGACGATGCTCAACAACCTGCACATGTGTCAGCCCAGGGGCTCCACATTTTATAGCTGTTCCAATTGGGACTTAAGGGTGTATACCAATAAGAGAAGTGGCAAAAAGGTACTATAAACCAAAGCCAAACATAGCAACTGAGGTCACCATTTCCTCCTACACATTCTATTAAGTATTTGCTGCAAGGGATGCCTCCTCACCATCCTTCTCCTCCACAGAAAGCTTCATGTGGCCATTTTACATCAATCTACAGCAGAGCAGAGCAGAGCCAAACACCAGTTCTGGGACACTCCACTCCTCACTAAGTGGAGAGCACAGTGCTTTATGTTACTCATTTTCACCTCACCCCTTTCTTTCATTCCAACCACTTGCCTCCTGGTTATCCTGACCTTTCTCTATGGGAGCTGTACCAATACTAGATGCTTTTTTCAGCTAGTTTCCCCAGCACAACTTCTCAGGTCATTCATGATATCAGAACAAGGAAATGCCCAGATCCATCCTTACCAACCTCTTCTTGAGGCCCTCCTCCAGCTTCATCCCTCTCCCTACAACTCTGCCCCATTCACCAGCTGGCTTTGGACTTCAGCATTCTGAGGCAGAGATCCCACATTTTATGAGAAGCTGAGCTTGAAGAAGGCTCCCAAGAGACTTCACTGCAGCCCTATAGTACTTAAAGGGAGCTGACAAACAGGAGAGCAGCTCTGTACACGGGCAATGGGACAGAGGGGAATGGCTTTAAACTAAAAGAGGGGAGACTGGGGTGAGATTTGAAGGGAAATCCCTCACCTAGAGGAAGTGCAGCCCTGGCACTGCTGCCCAGAGCTGTGGGGGCCCCACCCCTGGAGGTGCCCATGGCCATGGATGGGGCCCTGGGCAGCCTCAGCCTGGGGGCATTGAGCCCATGGTAGGGGTGGGGCTGAGGGGTCCCTTCCAACCCAACCATTCTACAGCTCTATGATCATTAAAGTGCCTTCCAATCCAACCATTCTACAGCTCCATGATCATTAAGGTCCCTTCCAACCCAACCATTCTACAGCTCCATGATCCTTGAAGTGCCTTCCAATCCAACCATTCTACAGCTCTATGATCATTAAAGTGCCCTCCAATCCAACCATTCTGTGGCTCTGTAATCCATTAGGTCCCTTTTAACCCAACCACTCAATGGCTCTATGATCCATAAGGTCCCTTCCAAACCAACCATTCTACAGCTCTATGATCATTAAGGTCCCTTCCAACCCAACCATTCTACAGCTCTATGATCACTGAAGTGCCTTCCAACTCAACCATTCTTCAGCTCTATGATCATTGAAATGCCTTCCAACCCAACCATTCTACAGCTCTATGATCCATAAGGTCCCTTCCAACCCAACCACTCAATGGCTCTATGATCATTGAAGTGCCTTCCAACCCAACCATTCTACAACTCTATGATCATTAAGGTCCCTTTCAACCCAACCAATCTGTGGCTCTATGATCCATAAGGTCCCTTCCAAACCAACCATTCTACAGCTCTATGATCATTAAAGTGCCTTCCAACCCAACCATTCTGTGGCTCTATGATCTATAAGGTCCCTTCCAACCCAACCACTCATTGTCTCTATGATCTATAAGGTCCCTTCCAACCCAACCATTCTACAGCCCTATGATCCATAAGATCCCTTCCAACCCAACCACTCAATGCATCTATGATCTGTAAGGTCCCTTCCAACCCAAACATACCATAGTTCTTTGCTCTTTAAGGACCCTTTCAGTCCAAGCCATTCCAAGATCCTACAAATGCATGGGCTGGATCCCATTAGAAACAGAAGCAGGATCTTGACCACGCATCACAGCTAGAAAATCACAACACACATAGAAAGCTCCCTTCAGACATCCAGGATTGGCCATTTCAGCCAAACCCACAGCATCAGGCCGCCCAGACACCATATGTGAGTACCAGGCCATGGGTTTTGCATGGAACTGGCAGGCCAGGAGCTGTGCAAACAAAGGCTGAGCCTAGAAACCTGCCCAAGTGTCAGATTGATCAGTGTGGGCTGATCCCAGCCTTTTGGGAACAAATCCCCTGCCAAAAATAGCACAAATTCTGGCAGAAAGAAGCAGTTTCTAATCTAAGCTTTCAATATTCTTGATATTAAAAAAGAAAAAAAAAAAAAAAAAGTTAAATTTCAGCATTACAGCAATAAGCAAAAGCTGCTGCATCTGCCCCATCCAGCTACTGAAAATGCTCTTAAATGAATTTCTGAGTTCAGAGCAGCCATCTGCATTTCCAACCTACGTGACACCCTCCCAGCAACGCTGCTTGGCCGTATCGTGTGTTCATTACAAACTGTTCTTCAGATATTTTTAACTAACTGTGCTTAGCTGTAAATTCATCAAGAGAAAAGCTGACATAAAAGGCCTTCATCTAAGGAATGTTTGGGTGCACAGCTAACCTAAATACATATATATTCCACGTGCAAAACGTGAAATGCTGATAAAAAACCATGAATCCATGACGATGCCTTGTGTGTGCACGGATAGCACGTGTAAATCCTACCTTTGGAAGATAAGCCCTTTATCAATCAGTCCATTTCATCTTTTTCCCATAAATTTCCATGATTCTATTAAGAAAAGCTGCCCAAGTCACAGGGGAAGCCAAAGAGCTGTCCTCAGCCTTCACTGCACTCTTATTCCTCAACCCAGAATCTGTCCAGTGGAGCTTTGAGCTACAGGGCTGTACTGCTTGGACATTTAGAATACCGTGTCTGGTTCTGGGCTCCCCAGTTCCAAAACAGACAGGAATCTACTAGAAGGGATCCAGTGGAGGGCCATAAAGATGATACAGGGCCTGGAGCATCTCCTGTATGAGGAAAGGAGTGAGCTGGGGTTGTTCAGCCTGGAGAAAAGACTGAGTGGGGATCTGGTACCCATTGTAGGGTACCTGCTTTAGCAGAGGGCTTGGACTCAATGATCTCTTGAGGTCTGTTGGAACAGAAGTGCTCCTAAGAAATGAGATATCCCCAGAGAGAACCTGAACTTCATTGAGGAACCACAGCAGCATCCACTGCTCAGCAGGACCCCCGGGCACTGCAGCCATCCCATGTGGAAGGGATGGGGTGATCTCGTAGAGCCAGGATGCAGAACAAGAAATAAAGTCCATTTCTGGTGTTAGGAAATGAACCCAAAGAACAGGAAACAAAGCTGAGGAACTTCTAAATAGCATAATTCTAAGCACTAAACTCACTGCTCAAGTTAAGGAATGCAAGGTCACCATACATCAGAAGAAGCAGAGGAAGATGGGGAGTCAGTGAGAAACAAGAGGAGCATCCTTCCCTTGCTCTGCACAGCCCAAGAAAGGAAAAGCAGGAAATTAAATCAAACTGGGGCACCTCATACCTCTAAAGGCAAAAAATAAAAAATATGCACATTTCCAGGAATGAAGACCACGGAGAAGGGGATTCTGCTGGTTTTAAAACATATAAAGCATGCAGTGCAGATCTGTGCCACAGCTTTGGGTTTGGATGGGGGTTGGTTAACACAACCCTGTGCTCTCACAAAGCAGAGGGCTCTCTGCAGCTGAAAGGCACACTTCACTCTTCTGCAGAGGCCACTTTTGGAAACATAACATCAAACAGAGCCACGTAGGGAAGTCAGTCATGGGAGGTGAGGAAAGGAAGCACACCCTGCTCACCACGAGGAGCTCGGTGACTGTGAAAGCCAACAGTGCAAAGTTGTAACTGAATGAGGACAAAAGCAGAAGTGGCCCTTTCTGAAGCACAAGCCTCTTCCTCAGAGGCCAGGACACTATTTTCTGCTCAGAGCAGGGGAAGGAACAAACCCATGCAGGCTGAATAATCACGTGGTCTGCTTGTTTGTTTCCTCTTGCAGAACTGCTGAATCTTCTTACAGATCTCAGCTTGGTCTCTGCAGGAGGGAACTGTTTTTCACGTGCATGCTTTGCTGTTGAGGAGGTCCCAGTCCCCAGATCAGCAGGCCCTCATTGGTATGTCCTGAAGCCTAAAGAACAGCACTGTGTTCAGCATTCACCAAGCTACAACACCCATACCACCTCTATCTTAGGACAGAAAGACATCAGGTCAATAAACGGATGTACATCAAAGGGATGAATCAGTTCCTCCTCCCTTAATGTAGCAAGGAACTCATCCAGTTTTTAACCCTACCTCCAAATTCCCCAGGTACAAAACTCTGCTGTTAAGTACAGACGTTTCCACTCACTTTTGGTGAATTGCCCAAAGTTTCTCCATTTAACCAGCTTGCTGCTCTGTCTTCAATACCTAAGATGGGTTCTGGGACTCCCAGATCCTCAGGTGGAGGAGCAAGACTGTGGGAATGATAAACCCCCAGTGAACCTCAAACTTGTGCAGGATTTGCTGCTCCAGCTGGATGGGTGTAAATCTATGGGGCCCAATGGGATTTATTCCAGGATACTCAGAGAGCTGTCTGATGTCATCGTGAGATGATTTAGAGAGGTCTCAGTCAACTGGAAGAAACACACAGATGTGGCAGTTAATGACACGGTTCAGAAGGCACAGTGGGGTGGGCTGATGGCTGGATTTGACCTTAGAGGTCTTTTCCAACCTTAATCATTCTGTGACTCTATAGAAGCTGGCAAATATCATCCCAGTTTTCAAGTAGGGCAAGAAAGAAGACC